ATGGCTGCTTGCAGCCGGGAAGTGTCGTGGCGTCGGCGATGCAGCAGCTGTCTGCCCCGTGTGCAGGCGGGGGGCTGCTTTGCGGGGCGCCGTGCCTTTGGCCTTTGAGATGGCAGGGGGTGGCTCTTCCAAGCTCTCCACACAGTGCTTGCACGTAAAAGGGATTATTGCTGCAAAGTTCTTGCTGCTGGGGTCCGCTGGGGGCCCTCGCGGCACGTGGCCCCTTCCATGTTGTTTGTTTTTCTTTTCGGACGCCAGCCGATCTGTTGACGCTCCCCGCTCGAGGGGCTTATCCTCTCGCCGGGGTGCCCCTGGCCGCCAGAGGCGCCGCCATGCTCATAGAGCTTGGAACCGCCTTTCCTGCCGGAGCAGCAATTAAGAACCCTTCCGGCGTTATCATTAGCACCGCACCGTAATTAAATGATTATTTGGGGGGTTTTCGCCGAACGATATAATTAGCACCGCGCGAATGAAAGGAAAATCAATAATTCCTGCGCCCCGCCTCGGATGGCATCCCAATTGGAATTGTAATAAGAAAAAGAATGCGAATAATAATAAGAATAATACGAATAAGAACAATAATAAGAATAAGGCGAGTGTTACAGGTACTGCTGACACCGTAACTGTTACTGCTACCGTGATGACGATGATGCTGATGACGGCGATGGTTTCGAAGCGGCCTGGGCAGGCGACCGGAACTCCAGCCTGAAGTGCGCTGAGCGAGTCCTCAGCTTGAAACCTGCGGGAACTGCGGCCAGAAGTATTGCGCTGAGGCGCTGAATCTCTGAACTGCGGCCTGAAGATTGCTGAGAGAAACTCAGCACAACATCTGCCTGACAGGCTAAGCTCGCCCTCCCCTCCCTGCCGTCCCCTTTCCCAAGGCGAGTCGGCCGATCCGCCTGGTCGCCGTCGCCGTCGCCGTCGCCATCGCCGTCTCCTCCTCCTTCTCCTCCTCCTCCTCCTCCTCCTCCTCCTCCTAGCCACAGGTGCCAGAATAACGCTTCCAGGGTGCGGGACGGTTATCGTTTCGCCGGAAGGGGGGGGGGTTCTGTAATTTCTTCTTCGGGTTAGTCCTGCCGAATCAGTGTCTCAAAGTGCGGATGCAACTCCTGGGAGGTCAAATTCTGTTTTCGCCCTGGTCCGAAATCCGGCTCAATCCAGCTTAATCCGGCTTCATCCCGCTCAATCCCACTTAATCCCGCTTAATCCGGTTTGATCCCGCTCGATCCGAGGCCCCCTCCGGCGTAACAGTTCCCAACTGGGGCCTATAATCCTCCTCAATCTTTCCGACGAAAACCTCCCAGTAGTTGCCTCCCAACTCAAAGGCATTGCATGGTTGTCCTGGGGCTTCTCTTGGTGCCCCGTGGGTGGCTGCGGGACGGGAAAGTGACCACAGCCACTGCTTCTTGTTTGCGCCGCCTTCCAGCCGGCCGAACAAGAAGCAGCGGTTGTGGTCCTTCCCCTGGCGTCAAGCTCCACGAAGATGACCACAACTACTGCTTTCTTTCGGCTGGCTGGAAGGCGGCAACACAAGAAAAGCAGTGGCTGTGGTCGTTTTCACTTCCCGTGGGTGGCCTTCCCGGGGCCGCCTCCTACTGCAAAGGAGTTGGATGGTTGCCTCCTAACTCAGAGGAACTGGATGGTTGTCCTGGGGCTTCTCATGGTGCCCCGTGGGTTTACCAGTTTGAAACATATCCCTATCCCCATGTTTGACATCACCTCACCTCGATGCCGATCTCAAGGATCCCCTCAGTCTCTGAGGGCCTGTCCCTAAGATTGTCCTCGCTCTTTGCTCGCCCATCTTAGGGATATGGATACGCTCGAGGCTGGTTGTGGGTGGCCTTCCCGGGGCCGCCTCGCGAGTGCCCCCTGTGCTCTGGGGTCGCGCGCGTGCCGAGGCGTGCCGCGCGGGTTGCCCGCGCGTGGGGCGCCCGCGCGCGGGCGCCGCGCGCGCGCGCGGGAGGCGGGATTGGCCGCGGCGTCGTCGGAGGTGGCCGCCCGCGGGGCGCCTCGGTGGGCGTCCCGTGCGCCCGGTGGCCGCACAGACGTCAGGAGGGAAAGATACACACAGACGCAATTCATCGTCGACTCCCCAGGAAATACGGGAAAATATGGGAAGTGGAGGGGAAGACAGAAAAACCCAGACGATATGGGGAAATATGGGGCATATGTTTCTCTGTGTGTATTTATTTGTGTGTCCCAGGGCCCCTTCAAGACTGCGCGACCTCTAGCCTCGAGTCGGGCCTGTCCCTCTACAGGGGGCAAATTCGAAGGTAGTAGAAAAGTAGTCGGGGGACGATTTTTGATTTCATACCATGTTTGAGTATTTCAGGGTATTGTTTGACGTTTTTTTTTTGTTTGTTGTTTTTGCATTTTTCGTTAAATGTCCCCCTGTAGGGGGGCAGGCCCGACTTAACTCTAGCTTTTTGTTCACAGAGGTTGCCCCACTCAGCTTGCAGTGCGCGCCGTGCACCACAGTGCTCACACCAGAAAGCTTGCGCCACACAGTTTGCGCCACGCACGTTGCGCAGCACAACTTGCACCATGCAGCTTGCACTACGCAGCTTACGCCGCATATGACACATTGCATAGCTTGCACCACGTAGCTTGCACCACACGGCTTACACCACATAGCTTGCGTAGTTTGCGTAGTTTGCGCCGCATGCGTTAAACCGCGTAGCTTGCACCAGAGCTCACATCGTGTAGCTGACGCCACATAGCTTGCACCGCACAGCATTCACCACACAGTATATTGCACTACGCAGCTTGCCCAACACTGCTTGCACCGCATAGCCTACACATCCACTGTGCGATCACTTCTGCCTGGGGTCCTTACGCGCAACCATCAGCTGAGACTTAGGAGTCGCTCGGAGTGGCGCTGCGTATATGCTGTCCAGGTTGCAGCGTGTCTGTTAACGTGGAGTCGAGTTTTTGTTGCGTACGCGGCTGGCTGGCAACACCGTAGACGACCATCCAACCTGGTCGTGCCGGCGCGGCGCGGCTCCCGGCACGCCACAGCAGAAGTGCCCGCGGGTGGGCGGCGGGCATGCTGGCGCCTCCTTTCCTTCGAGGCAGGGCGACCGGGTGCTCTGATTGCCTTCGGCGTGGGAGTACGACTCGACCACAGCAGCTGCGTAGTGCGAGCCATGGGGAAGAGAAGAACACATGCGAGCATCGGAGGGTAGGCAATGCTCTTAAAGAGGAAAGTCTCTGCCGTCCGTTATCCATCTTTTTCCCCCCCCCCCCCTCTCTCTCTGTCTCTCTTTCGCATGGGCGTGCTACGCTCCAGTGGCTTCTCGCTCGGATTCATGACCGAAGGCGGCTTCCTTGGCGTCATGCGGTTTTGTGGCAGCCCGCCTTCGTCCGACGGTTCTTGTGGTGGCATCCCGCCTTCTGATTATGATTGTGGAGAGAAGGAGAACAGACACGGGGGAAATGATGACGCTGATGATGATGCTGCTGATGATGATGATGGCGATGATGATGTTGATGATGGTGTTGCTGAGTATGATGATGCTGATGATGATGAGGATGACGATGCTGATGACGATGATGATGTTGCTGCTGATGATGCTGATGCTGATAATGATGATGCTGATGTTGATGATGATGATGATGATCATGATGACGATGATTACGATGATGATGATGATGCTGATGATGATGATGATGATGATGATGATGATGATGATGATGATGATGATGATGATGATATGTTGATACTATTGGTGATGCTGGTGATGATTATGATGATGCTGATGATGATGATGATGATGATGATGATGATACTGATGATGATGATGTTGGTGATGATGATGCTGATGATTATGATGATTATGATGATTATGGTGAATATGATGATGATGATGATCATGATGATGATGATGATGATGACGATGATGATGATGATGATGATGATGATGATGATGATGATGATGATGATGATGCTGATGCTGATGCTGATGATGATGCTGATGATGATGATGATGATGATGATGATGATGCTGTTGATGATGATGATGAGGAGGAGGAGGAGCAGGATGATGATGATAATGAGGAGGAGGAGGAGGAGGAGGAGGGAGGAGGAGGAGGAGGAGCAGGAGGATGCGAAGGAGGAGGAGGAGGAGGAGGAGGAGGAGGAGGAGGAGGAGGAGGAGGAGGAGGAGGAGGAGGGAGGAGGAGGAGGAGGAGGAGGAGGAGGAGGAGGAGGAGGAGGAGGTGCGGTCAAAAATGGTCGCGAGGGTCCTTGGAAGTCTCCAATGGTCCTCTGAACTCTCCCCCCAAAGGAAGGGCCAAGAGTGTCAGAGCGCCGCGATCCTCCCCCGCCTTCGAAGCACGGAGCGAGACGCGGAAGACGAGGACAACCTCTCCTGCATGATCGTGCTGCTGGGGGAGGGTGGCCTGGCGGGGCCCGAGCGGGAGTACATCCCGGGGCCCTTCGGCTGCCCCGACCACGGAGCCTACAGGAGCAGTCGGCCCCCTCTTTTCGGCCTGCCCGTCGAGGTCAGAGGATCGAGTTCTCTTCGTCGTGGACACAGGTTTCCTGTCGCGGATCGAGGATGGAGGATCGGAGTCTGTTCGTCGATGATCGAGGATCGAGGCTCCATCGTCGAGCATCGAGGATTGAGGATCGAGGCTGTTCTGCATGTTGTTTGGTGAGTTTTTGGGGATGTGCTTCGGGCCTCTGGAGGCGGTCGTCCCTGCCGTTGGCTTTTGTCGTCGCCGCGTCGTCGTGACTGCCAACCGCCATCGTGACCACGGCCACTGCCGTGCCGCGCGGGGCCCCGCGTCGGCACGAGCTGGGGCGTGGCACTGTGAAGATCGGATGCGTCGGAGAGCGGGGTGAGTACCACATTCGCAATCCTAGAGTTTGACACCAACACCAATATCGGCGGAGTGCCTCCACCGAGGGAAGAAGATCCCGATCTCGGTGATGGTGGTAACAGTCTGGCTTCCAAAGTGGCCGAAATATTACCACCAACACCGAAATCTAGGATCACCTTCCCCCTGTGGAGTCAACCCCCTGTGCTGGTGTTGGTGCCCATTTTCCAGGCCTCCTAAAAAAGTGGCTGGGGCTAGCCCTTCCACTCTTTCCAGCCCAGGCCAGTTTCCTTTCATCATTTCCTCCAGCCCTGGCGTCCGTCCGTAGCCATCTTGGCTCCAGTGGCCCACGGAGCGGGGGCAGTCTCGCCAGGGCCCGCCGTTGGTCTCAGTCGCCGCTCTCGGGGAAACCACCATGAGTTTGCACAGTTGCGCGATGGGCGCCTTCTTCTCGACGGTCTCGGCCGATGCGGACGCCCAGCTCGCGCACGTGAAGGCGCAGTCGGAGGCGGAAGCGGACGCCCAGCTCGCGGCCGACGAGAAGCGCGTGAAGGCGGAGGCGGAGGCGCCGAAAACGAGGTCTAGTTCGTGGACCGTTAATTGCAACCACAGAAGGATGGGGGGGCCCGAGCTGGAGCCCCTCCTTTGCGTTCACCGACGTCATCGACGTGGCGTGGCTCGTGGACCTCGCGGGCGGCAGGGTGATGCCCGAGCGCAAGGGCGTGGTGCCCGCGTGGCAGGGGTTGCCGCCAGAGGCGAAGGTGTCCATCACGGAGCTCCGCAAGACCACGTACAGCAACGGGCTCTCCGTGGCAATCCTGCGCTACGGCTGGGCCACCAGGCACCGCCCTGACCCCACCGTGGAGCAGCTGCGCAGGCTCCTGCCAGCGTTGCGGTCGACGGCCAACGGGAATCATCTGAACGGTGGGGGCGCTTGGGGCGACTGCGCCACACGGGGCCTCGTGTGGGACTTCTTGTCGCAGCGCGGGTACACGGGCTACAAGGCGGAGCGCGACGACCGCACCGAGTACCAGCTGAAGCGCTTCGCCAAGGGCCTCGCGAGCATCAACATCTGGTACGCCCACAAGAGCGTTACAACGCTGGTGTGCGACTGGCCGATGCCCGCTGGCGTGGGGAACCAGCACTCCATCGACCAGCGCGGTTGGTGTGTTTTCGAGCGCTGCCTGAGCAGCATCGTCAAGCGTGCGAGCTGCTATCTGCACATGAGCAGGTTACCCTCGGGCGCAGAGAACAAAGCCTGGTGGAAGGTGGCGCGGCTTTGCAAGGGCAATCGCGAGCCCATGATTACCCCCGACGCGCTTGAGCAGATGATGCGTGAGGGCATTGCTAGCGGCGCGCTAAAATTTACCAATGGCATGGGCGCGACCAATATCTGCGTCCCGCAGTACCACGAGGCGTTTGCCAGGCTCCTCAGCAAGACCACTCGTCTAGATTATCCGAAGCTCGGTTGGGGCCCGGACCAGGGGACGCAGCTGGCGGCCGCGTTCGAGTATGCGCAGCGCGCGGGCATCACCGCGGCAGCAGAGACGCTCAACCTCTGGGACAACAGTCTCGGCAGCGAGGGGATCCGGGCCATCGGCAGGGTGGTCGAGCGGACGCGCTGCCGAAGCTCCGCTGGCTGTACATCGAAGGCAATCGTCATGACCGCCTCGCGCAGGCGTGGATCAAGAAGGTGGCCAACGCTGCACGATGTGCAACTGTTGCATGATGTGCGAGGTCCCCGCGTCTCGTCCTGCCTGTGCCCCCCGGGGAGTGATTCCAGCACCCTTTCGCGGCTGACCTGCACTGCGGTGAGGCGCCCGCACTCGCCGAATTCAAGTCGGCCTTGCATGGTCTTCTGCCGAGATGATGGTGTCATCATTCCATAGTCACTAGTAACTACCAGCTGGCCTCTTGTCGTTGTCGCTGAAAAAAATCCAGCCCCTGGGACCGCATCCCTACTGATTCGGACTCGCTTCACCCCCTGCCAGTGTTTCCAGCCCTGGCCACTTCCACTCCCACTGGTTTTCCAACTTCCACTTGCTCATTCTCCCTGTAGGTGTGCGTGTGTGTGTGTGTGTGTGGATCGGCGCGCCGTCGACGGCAACACCATACCGCTCACCCTTCGGGACTTCGCCTCCGGCTCCTGTCCAAGGTGTACCTTTTCCTGTGCAAGCTCTTCAGCACCGCCTGCACCCCGCGCCCTCCGGCCGCCTGAGGCCCCGCCCGCCCGCGCCTTGTCTCCCCAATTAGTGCTTTGCGCGGCCTCCCTAGTTCTTAACCGGAAGAGGCTCGCTCTCGACCCGCAGACCAAACAAGTGTGTGTCTGTGGATAGCATGGCCTGGGCCATTGCATCTCCCACACTTCACCGCCCCTTCTCTCCTCGCGGAGCGTCCCCATGGCCCCCCCTCTCCCCGTCCGCGCACGTGCCTCGGACCGTGGCGCGTCAGCCCCCCCCCTCTTCGTGGCACCTCGCTTCGGCGGACCCCGTTACTGCTTGAGGGTCCGAGATGACGGGTACATTTTCCTCGAGCGGGAGCGCGCGAAACGTTTTTTCTTTCTCAAACAACAGCCTTTACCTGGTTACTTCTCGCAACAAATTCCGCCGGCCCGCTTCAAGTCGATGCCTGGGGAAAACCTCCAGAAGAGAATCCTGGGCCCAGACCCTTTCCGGGAATGATCGCCGCCCTCTTTCCTCATCCTGCCTGTTTCGTTGTCGTCCTCTTCCGCCGTCCCACTGCTGCTGTCGCTTTCATTGTTCTGCTCCTCCTCCGTCTTTTTCGTGCTCCTCGTTCCCACCCCCATTCCCTCTTCGAGCCTGGGGCCTCAATCCTCGTCCTTCTGTGGTTTTGGCGCGACGCTCGCGTTGCCCATATGGGGCGTTCCAGAAAGGGCTAGCTTTCGAGGATCGAATGAGTTGTCATCTCTCCCTCGGCGGAAGGCCGCGGAGGGTGGGGAAGGGAACTGGGGATGCGTGTAGGCAGGTGTGGTGGGGGTCCTCCTCTTCATGCATCTCCGCCGATCGCTACCTCCTCCTCCTCCTCCTCCTCCTCCTCCTCCGCGTTCGTGGAGCTCACATGCCGCCTTTCTGCGGCCGTCTTGAGGCCCTGCGCGTTCACACTTGGGATCCTGGGGCCCTCTTGCGGGGCCATCTCGGAAGCAGCCTGGGCCCTTTGGGACTCTCGCTGGGTTGTCTTGCAGCTTCCTTAAGACATCTCGGGGGGGGGTCTGGCACATTGCGGGGCCGACATGCGCCGCCTTCGGTTCCCATGGAAGGGCCCCTTTGGCCCTCTTGAGGCGCTCTTTGGGTTGCCTTGGGCAATATTGGCATTTCTTTGTGCCTGTCTAGGAGCTCTTCAGGTCCTCGGAGGCACTCTCGCAAGCGTCGGGAGCCGAAAAGTGGAGAATGAACACAGCATGCAACAACGTTTGCAAATCCTCAGGTTGCTGAGTGATGGTGGCCGTCAGGAGGTGATGCTAGGGCGCTTTTGTGGCCGTCTTGAGGTCATGTTGGGGCTTCTTGCAGTCAGTCCACAGTCATTGTAAGCAACTCTAGGACTCTTTGGGGATCAGCCTGTAGCTTCCTTGGGCCATGCTCGGGTGTCTCGGAGCCTCCTGGAGCCTGCTTGAGCAATCCTGGCGCTCTTTCAGGCCATGTTGGGGGCTCTGGAAAGGGGGTGCTGGCGTGTTAGGGAGGCCATTCCGGGCTTCCCCGCTGTCATTTTATGGCTAAAGGGATATGAACACGTTTCGACTACATGTGTACGGTCAACCCGCACAGTAAGGATCAGCGACTTTCCGAGGCTAACCTTGCATCCTTGCCCCTTCGGCCCATCCTTGGCGATTTTTGCTGGCCAACCCTTTTCGAAAAACGTCAGCACGGCCCGGCAAGGCCCTTGCATCCTTACCGGGCATCCTTATCGTACGGGTTGGCTGTATGCAGTCGGCCCGGATTAGTAGGTCGACCCTGCCCAAACAAGGGTACCTTTGTGTCCTGTGTCTCGCGGCCCGTACCTCCTGCATTCCTATGGCAATCTGACCCTCGGAGGGGTCTCGTGTCCTCTCGCGTGTCCTGTCTAATGAAGTTCGACCGTACGTATCTGCGTCGTGTGATCTGTTCAAAGCCTTTGGGCTCAACGGGTCTGTCGGGTGTGCCAGCCGCCCTGCGCGGTCAACGCAGCTATGCATGTCTCCTGGGCAGCGGCCACGCTGCTCTTCGCCGCAGTCCAGGCTGGGCATGAGGCGCCTGTGCAGCGTGTGGTCAAGCTGCTGCGGGACATGAAGGCCCAGCTGGACGCCGAGGCCGGCAAGGAGTCGGAGATGTACGACAAGATGGTCTGCTGGTGTGAAACGGGCGAGAAGGAGAAGACGAAGGCCATCGCCGTCGCCGACGCGAAGATCACCGACCTGGAGTCGTCCATCCAAGCCATGTCCGCCAAGTTCGGGTCCGTGGGCACAGACATCGAGGCCCTCAAGAACCAGATCGCAAAGGACACCGATGCGCTCAAGGAGGCGACAGCGATTCGGGAGTCCGAGGCGGAGAAGTTCCGGGAGGGGGAGAAGGATATGGTACAAGCGCTGACCAATTTGAACAATGCCATCATGGTTCTTGGGCGGCACCAGGTCAGCATCGTCGAATCTATCCCAATTCCCAATGGGCCGTGGTATGTCAGCCCCGCCAGACCACTCTCCCATGTGGGGAATAGGCCTCGCGAAACTCGAAGGAGCAGGCATACTTGTTCCATCTATGTCCACCTGGGTGGGCAAGTCGGCCAGTGGGGACATGTGACAAGACCACGCCAGTAGGGATACAGTCAACGCGCATAGTAATGATTGGTAGCCTTCCCAAGGGTACCCTTGCATCCTTGCCTCATCGGTCCATCCTTGGCCACTTTCGTTGGCCGCGCTCCGCTCGAAAAGCTTACAAACGGCCTTCCAAGGCCCTTGCATCTGTATCGCGCGTCCTTATCATATGGGTTAAATGTAGGAGTCGATTCAACGATGCTGGCCAGGGCGGCGGCACGAGCTTGATGCAGCTGGACGGCCCCACGCGCGCCAGCGTCCGCGCGGTCCTGCGCGACGTCACGGCCACCTACGACTTGCGCGTGGGAGCAAGGCCCTCGCGCCCCGCGCGGCGGGCCACGTCCATGTCGCTGCTCGCGGTTGCGGAGGGGGACCCCAGCCGCAGGCTGCAGGACGTGCTCGGCCTGTCCGCCGGCGCCGACCGGCTTATGCCCGGGGATCTCGCGGAGGCGCAGCTGGCGGACTGGGCGCGGCAGGGCGGGGCTCGGGCCGGCTCCTTCCTGCAGTCCGGCGGCCGCCTGGCGCCGACGGCGGGGTCCTACTCGCCGCAGTCGAGCACCATCTTCGGGATCCTCGAGCAGATGAGGGAGGAGTTCGAGGCCAACCTCAAGCAGGATCAGGACCTCGAGGCGAAGGCCAGGGAGGAGTTCGAGGCGCTCAAGGCGGCCAAGGCGGATCAGATCGCGAGCGGCACAGAGTCCTTGGACGCCATGGAGAACGAGCACGCCGAGAACACCAAGGCGCTCTCGGACGCGAAGGAGGATCTGACTCTGACCACCGCCCAGCGCTCGGAGGACGTGGAGTACCTCCAGAAGCTCCGGCTGAGCTGCCAGGACCTCGACAGCCAGTGGGACAAGCGGAGCGCGCTGCGCAGCGAGGAGACCAAGGCGGTCGCCGAGGCCATCGCCGTCCTCACCGAGGACGACGCCCGCGAGCAGCTGTCCAGGTCCGTCGCGCTCCTCCAGCTGCGCTCCGGCAGCGGCACGCGGGCGGAGGCCCGTGCCCGCCGCTCGGGGGCGGCGGCCGTCCTGCGCCGCGCCGCGGAGGACGCCGACGACGACGACGACGATCTGATCGCCGCCTGGCGCCAGCGAGGGGGTCCGGGGGCGAAGGGCGCCGTGGGCGGGCAGAAGGCTCGGGGGGCAACGTGCAGCACCGAGCGCGTTCCACTACACTCGCAGAGGTGCCTGCTCGCAAGCAGCCGAGAGAGAGAGAGAGAGACACGCCTTCCAGAGTATGTGGCGGGTCGTGGATCCAGGCCATTTGCGAGCAGTCATTTTGCGAGTGTGGTGGGACGCGCTTGTCTAGTTTAGGGGGGGAGGGGGACGCATCGATCCCCCACAGTCGCCCACTCAACGCCGATGGGGGTCCGGATGGCCCGCCCGCACAGGAACTTGCGGACCTGCCATCGGGGGCCTGTCGCCCATCTGTCGGCGACGGATCGCTTCTTCCAGCTCGATGTCTCCCCCCCTCCCCTTATCGTTGCCCCTCAAAGGCCAGGCTCTCCACCCTGGCTGTCTCCGTTGAGCTGGACGATTTTGCGAAGGTTAAGGAGGCGATGGACAAGATGGTCGCCGACCTGCAGGCCGAGCAGGCGGAGGAGGTCCAGCTCAAGGCCTTCTGCCAGAAGGAGCTGGCGGCCAACGAGAAGATGAACCTCACCAAGTCGGACCACAAAGAGGACCTAGAGACGAAGATCGAGCTGCTGGGTAAGATCATCAAGACCCTCGAGAAGGAGGTCGCCGAGGACCAGGCGAGAATAGCAGGCAACAAGGAGGCGATGACGTCGGCCAGCCAGGCCCGCGAGGCCGAGAACAAGGAATTCCAGATGGTGGTCAGCGACCAGCGGGCAGCACAGGCAATTCTCAAGAAGGCCCTCGCGCGACTCAAGGCGTTCTACGGCAAGCAGGCGCTTGTGCAGGAGCGCAAGGCCCTGCAGACCCCCCCTGTGCAGTTCCCGGACTACGCGAAGAGTGCAGGCGGTGCCTCGGTCGTGGGCCTGCTCGAGCAGATCATCGGGGACTCCGAGGCCCTGGAGAAGGAGGCCGTCGCCAGCGAGGCGTCGGCGCAGTCCAGCTACGAGTCCTACATCAAGGGCGCCGCCGAGGAGGTGAAGTCCCTCGAGGC